AAATGGAGGCGGTGCCTGGATGTTCGCGAGCCGGATGTACTGCTGTGGGTACAAAAAAATCTATATTAAGTTACAGAGAAAAAACGATAATATTAAATGTCTATAACCCTTTAGAAAAGGATCATCCCATGAAACTGAAGACTGGTTTGGTGGAAATATGTTCTAGATATACTGGAGTAAGCAAATTATCTGTTTTCAAAATTTTAAGAGAGAAGAAAAATGAAGGAGACGTTAAGAAACCTAAAAAAGGGGGTGGAAAGAAGAAATTAATATTAAATTTTAATATATTAATATATTATATAATATATAACTTTAATTAAATGAAGATGAGAAAAATGCAGTTCGGCATACAGTACATGAATCATAGAATTTATATTTTGTTTGTAATTTGTTAATATTTCTTGTTTGATAGAAAAATAACTTATTTTGTTGAGATTGATAGAGAATTGTTGTTAGTGTTTTCATTTGATAGAATCATATCATAGGATTTATATTTTGTTTTCATTCTGTAAATATTTATAGTATATCTGTTATACAAGGTTTTTGCTTTGAAACTTCGTTCTCCTTATAAAAAAAAAAATCGTAATGGGGTGCGATGAAGAGATCAGTTCACGTCTGGAACCCTGTTCCTACAAAAATCCCTTTATTCTCATAAACTATTTGTTTTAAATGTAATTTATTATAAATCCAATTCGTTATTTAAATTCCACATATGTACTACATTTCACCTCTGTACGCGCCACTGTTTATTGTTCCCTGCTCTACGATCAAGCTCGCCAGGTTAGTATTTGACGTATAACCGACCACTTCGTACACTCGATGCACCTGGCCGACTACAGCTAGTACCAGAACACAGTGTGTATGCAGCGGTATTTCAGATTTAACATTCAATTTGAAATGGTTCATCTTACGCCTCCTAAAAATGTTGACACGATTTTTCTTTGATAAAAGGCTGACAATTTTTTGCTCTACTTTGCATCGAATAGGATCCTACTATATCTACTGAATAAGAATTACAGTTAATTAAATTTACAAAAATTTTTGTCTAACAAGCACCAATATAAAATTGCCAACTTCTGGATCAATTTATTGATAAAAACTATTAACAAAATTAATTAATATAAAAAGTATTTCCAATAGTCTCAATGTGTTAATACTACTTATATGAATACAGAGTTTCAAAAGCAAAAATATTTTCCTATTAAAGATAGTCTTACCTTTCGCCTAAAGGGAAAACATCCTTCATTTTCTGAAACTGCTACTGGTTGCAAAATTAAATCAGGTGATCTAGAACAATTAGGACCAAACACATTTAACTGTCTGAAGCAGTCCGTTTCTATCATTTCACTTTGCCATGGTATAGACACACAACCCGTGTTAAATTTACTATAAAACGTTGAATCACTTTCGTCTATATTTACACCTTTCACTGTTGAAAATTGTTCTATATCTAGTACATCCTTCGCATACACTGCATGAGGCTACAAAAGAAATAAAAAATATTGTTCACAACCATGAATGTACGTACATCCCTCAATCATATTATTTTACATAGGTAATTTCCAACTGAAAAATTAGTATACTAAAAACATGTATGTATTAAACATTTTGAGTACCAATAAAAATAAAACACAATGTAAAGTAAAATACATAGCAGAAAAAGAAGTTGAAGCACTGAACTGAATGAACAAGAAATGTTTGATAATGAAAGGGAATGTCATACATACCAATATGTACAGGATGTCTCAAACTCTATGCTCCACTGCTGCTATTGGCTAATAAAAAATGCGAATAAAAATTTCACTTGGGGATTTTAAATAAGAACACTTAGGTTTGCCTTTGACCCAAAAATATAATTCTTCGAACTTTTGGAAATGCCTGTTACGATATTTTTCCCAGAAACATACCCATTTCATTTCATATTGGAAGGACAGACAGAGTTGTTCCGATAAACTCTTATTACAAAACTTTTTTGATATCTCTTTTCATTTAAAAGTTACAACTAGAAACGTGAAAACGCTTACTCGTATTTTAAATACAGTAGAACTCGGTTATAGCGAGCATTCACGGGAACGCAAAATTTGCTCGTTATACGCGAGTGCTCGTTATAGACGTCGCCGTCACCAACTATGCTGAAAATTATTTGAAACATAATTATAGCTGCATTGCACTTGTATTTTTATTTTCAAACATATAATATTATTTATCTACATAACATAGATACGTATAACTGTAGGTAAGTTACATTACATAGCATTTATTATTAACGAAAAAATTCTGTATTATTTTTCTGCACCACTCTTTTGCTTAATATTTCCTGACTGATATTTCTTTGCAACCGATCAGCGGCATTTAAGAACTGCTCGTTTTCCGGATATTTGAATTCGACGTATGATACTATGATTTTTAACGCAGAGATGGCTTCATGTGTCGAAGGAACTGTAACCTCATCGCTTCCCGTCTCTTCTTCATCACTTTCTTCATCTATTGATGGAATTTCATTTGGGAATTCAGCCACTTCGAGGTTTTCGTCTACCATGTCGTACTGAACTAAGTCAAAGACGTCAAAATCGGATATGTTGTTATTTCTACTAGTCATAACAAGCTTTTGCGTTCATTTGATGTCATGTGCGTAAAAACTGGTTCTACGATAACTCGTTATAGCCGAGATCACTGTTGCGCGGGACCAAAATCAAAGCTCGTAATAGCCAAGCCCTCGTTATATACGAGTTCGTTATAGATGAACAAAAATACACGTCTTACATAGGGAATTCGGAAGGGACATTTCAATTTGCTCGTTATAACCAAGTGCTCGTTATATCCCCTGCTCGTTACAAGCGAGTTCAACTGTATCTCGAACAAAATCGAATTAGCTATCACTTAATTCGATTTTCATGGAATGCAATAGACAATTTGATTATTGTGAAGCAATTTGTCTAATAACTTGTCAACTATTGAAATATTTTGCTTGTTCTTATTTTGAACAGCTTATTTCAATTAATATAACAAGGCACGATGAAAAGGTTGATATAATCTTAATTTATGGAGAAACCCAAAAATGCAAGAAGAGTTGTGGGAATTTATCCAGAAAGATATTCTGAGCGCCTACTTCCTGATCACAAAATATTTATAAGATTGGAAAAGACTCTTCGAGAAAACCAAAGTACATTTTGTAATCGAAAAGGAAAATCAATTTGAAAAAGAGCTTGCAATGACAATGCAACAGCACAGATGTTACAATACTTTAAAGACAATTCGAGACATTCAATTAGGCAAGCCAGTAGAGAATTAATTTGAATAAGTCCTCAGTTCAAAGAATTATGAGTAGTAGCAAATATCATGACTAGTTACACAATTTAAAACGATTAAACTAACTATCGAGAAACGGATAAATTTTATTCCCCAAATTACGGTACTCATCGAATGCGGACAGGCGAGCTTTTAATTACATTCTTTGGACAGATGAAAGTCGTTTTATAAGCAATAGCCTGCCTAACAGAAGAAGCGAATATAACTGGGCAACAGAAAACCCACACTTTGTCAACCCTAAAACAATCAAGATCATTTTCAGACAGAGCTCCACCTCACATAACACTTATTTTCTGTAATTATCTAGATGAAATATATCACGATAGAAGGAAGGAGAGGGATTAATGGTTCCATATGGTTATTAATGGTTCAGGGAAGTCTCCACACCTGATCCTCTTAGATTTTTGTTTATAGGAACTTCTCAAAAACAATGTTTATAAGACCCCCTCACAAAATATTGCCCATTTGACCATTTCTCTACATAATTTGAAAAAAGCCACTCACAAGAAAATTTTAAGAAAATAAATTTTATTGTCGTAAGTTTAGAGGGAGTGGTTCAAATTTAGCTTTCAAAATTTGAACTAAACATACATACACGTGAAGTTAAAAAAAAATTGTCATCAGAATTCCAAAGTCGTAACTTGAGAGGAAGTGGTTCAAATTTGGCTTGCAAGATGTGAACTAAACATTCGTACAGGCGAAGTTAAAGCAAAGCTTGTAATGAAATGGGTATGTTTCTGTGAAAAATATATTTCATAACTTCAAAACAGGCATTTCCAAAAGTTCCAAAAATAATATAGTTGGCTCAACGGCAAGCCTAAGTGGTCATATTTGAAACCCCAAACTGAAATTTTTATTCACGTTTTTTATTATCCAGTAGCAACTCTGGGACTAGGAGTTTGAGACACTCTGTATAGGACCAAGCTCATAATAGTTCAGTTGGCTAAAATTCTCAATTATATGTTTGAATAAGTTTATGAAGCTTGCAGAAATGGCAAAACATTTTTCTAAAATTGCCATAATAATATTAAAATATATATTTTCACCATATAAAACCGAAAATTTTATACTTAAGACATAATAGATATATAAGAAAAAATATGGTTTAGTTGGCACTTACTTGTATCTCTCTGTATTTCTATGAGTTAATAATGCCAACAATAAAACATAATTATTTATCAATAACTGATCAACTGGATGAAGGAAGCTTTATTTTTTCAGAATGAATAGTCATTATGATAAGCGTCTAAAGATGAATGTTTTCATGTGAAATTCATATAATCGTCAAATTTAGGCTCATTATTCCTGGTCTTCCTGAATCCATTTTAGCCTATATCTTCTGTTCTTTGGTTAACAGAGGTTTTTTTGCTGGTTGGAAAATTGTTAGAAAATTAACTGTTTAATTCAGACTTCACTAGATCTTGTAGAAAAAATATTTGAAGTGATAAAATACTCTTTTGATGGATATTAATAACAGAAAAGTGCAAATTTTCACTGAGACATTTCACTTGCAAACTTAAGAATAAGTAAGTACCGACATATTGAAAGATTGATTTATTCAATATATGCTTTGTTTCGAAGGAACGTTATTATGATAACTGGCCAAACTATTATGACCACCTATATCACATTTTTTCTTATACAGGGTGATCCATTAACGGTACGGAGCGGCTGTATATAGGAAACTAGACGTGCTACGATATGGGGTAAAAAATCTATTAACAAATACGGCCAAAAGAAATTGATTTAAAATATTTTCAGTTTGTAACTTCATCGTTAGGGGGCGCAACAGCTATAGTGTTACAGAAAATGGTAATTTTTTTCGGAATTTCGCTTATATAACCTAAGTTGAAAATACACTTTTTAGATACACTGGAAATGTTGAGAAAGGGGTAACTCAGTTTTATCGAAAACTCCAGTGTACGAATGTTACAAAGCAATCAAACATGGTCGAGTTGTGGTTAATGATTTGCCATGTTCTGGTTGTCCTTCGTTTTCAACTGAAGAAAACATCGACAAAGTGAAGGAAATGGTGCTTGCAAACCGTCATTATAGATTGAAAGAGCTGACATATGACCAAACATATCTTACAAATCATTTTTGTTGATGTTGAGGGTATGAAAAACTTCCCAGCATGGCTGGTTTCAACAGAATTGAACTTTTTTCAAGAAGAGCATCAAACATGTTGCTGAAGACATACTTCAATGAGCTAATTCGGAGTTTACATTCATCCAACACACTGTAACGGGTAACGAGACATGGGTTTACGAGTTTGACATGCAAACGAGCCAACAAATTTTGGAATGGCGCTTTTCTAATTAGCCGAAACCAAACAAAAACATCAAAGTCGATCAAAAATCAGTCATGTTTAATGTTTTATTTTACTATCGTGGTGTTGTCAACAAATAATTCCTTCCAGATGGAGAAAAAGTCAATAAAGAATATTATCTGGGCATTATGAGGTGTTTGAGAGAGAGAGAGTATCCGACGCAAAAGACTAGATTTATGGTAGGACAATTCTTAGATTTTGCACCATTATAATGCACCGAATGTCATCAAGCAACCCCTCTTGAGTTTTGCCTCTTTTCCAACTCAAATTACCACTTTGTGGAAAACGTTTCGACTCAACAGAAGTCATTAAACAAAAATTGCTGAAGGAGTTGAAGTCCATACAGGAATATGTGTTTAAAAAAGGGTGGTTTGTTGGGAAACATGTATTGCTTGAAATGGAGCCTATTTTGAAGGAGACAAAATAAATTTTGAAGATTAATTGAATATATGTGATTCATTAACTTTCGTATATTTCTTTGAAAGAATGTAAGTTCTATAATCCTAACATTATTAATTATTTAGACTAGTGGGGCATTCCTTTGTTTGAAAATCAAAGAATATCAATACAAAATAAGAATATAACATTAAAGAGGAGGAAGATACAATCTGATTGAAATGTACTTACATCTGGTACAAATGGAGGATCTATCATACCAGCTTCCAACCTTCTCCAGTTAATATGAGGCTGGAAAAATGGGTGCTGTTTGATAATCACTGCCCCACACCTTCCCGCTTTCCCACCCAACCTCTGTTGTGGACTCTTGGCTAATAATTGTTGGCACAAAGATTTGGCATCTTCACTAAACTTATTTGAATATTTTTCTTGATCAGACTTTACCCGTCGGTCCACTTCCTCACGTTTAACTTTTTCCTTTCGAGCTCTAAAAGGAGCTTGCCCCTCTATCATTTCATAAAGTAAACATCCAAAACTAAACCAGTCTGGACTGAAGGTGTACCTTTCATTGTCTATGACTTCTGGTGCTATAAATAAAAAGAAGTATTAGTGATAAATCAAGTCAATGCAGATAAATATTTACCCATGTAACCAACAGTTCCAACTCTACCCCTAACAGATTCTCCCTCTGGTATATCTACAGCTAAACCTAGATCTGAGATCCGAACATGACCTGCATCGTCAAGAAGTATATTTTCTGGCTTACAGTCTCTATACACAATGCCCTATAACAAAAAAAAAAAAAAATTAAAAACAGCAGTTCCATTTAGTGGCCTCTTCTTCTATAGGGTGTCCCAAAAGTACTGCAGGATTTGAATTGTGTGGCGTTTTCATTCCAAACAGTTGGCAGCATTATACGGGTCACATGTTGTGGTAAATACGTTGCAGTTAGACAAAATGGAGCACTATACGACGGATGAGTGAATAAAGATTATGAAAATTTATTACAAATACGAAGGGTGTGTAGCTGAGACTGTGAGTAAATTACGTGGAATTTTCGATAGAAGGAATGTCCTGAATGAAACATTGTGAAAAGATTAGTTGCCAAATTTGAACAAACAGGTTCGGTTGCAGACAATAAAAAAACAGGCCGTTCTCGTACTGGCCGTTTAGCCGAAAATATTGCTACGGTGAGTGACAGTGTGGCGGAAAAACTGTAACTTAAGTGAGTTGTCAGTCACTACAATTAAACATTTCAAAAAGTACAATGTAGCGGATTTTAATAAAAGATCTGCGTCTGCATCCATTCAAGATTCAGTTAAACCAAGAATTGAAACAAGACGACCATTTAATGCTCCGGAGTTGATTGATTGGGTGTTGAAGAATTGATAAATGCACGGTGATTTTATTAAGAAAATTATATTTAGCGACGAGCCGCGTTTTGCATTAGTGGGTATGTCAACAAGCAAAACAGTCGAATTTGGGGCACAGACAAATTCCGGGTTATTCAATAATGAACACACACACATTGTACACACAAAGAGTGACAGTGTGGTGTAGATTTTACGCTTGTGGCGCGACTGGTCCATTTTTTTTTTTTTGAAAATGAGCCAGGAAACTAGTGCAAAAAAATAATTAAAAATAATAAACCCTTGCACCAAAACGGTTATTTTTTATAAATATAGTTTTGTTTAACCAAAAATCAATTATCAGAACTTGGAATAATACATTGTTTTAAATTAGTTTTGACAGATTATATAGAGGACATAGGGAAGATTCACTTTAGAACAGAAAATTCATTTTGTTCTATAAAAAAATTCACTGCTATATAATAAACATTTTTTGCGGCACCATGTATTATTATTATTATTATTTTAATTAATTTAATTTTATTATTATAATTTACTTAAAATGAAGTGTCATTCTAAGTTTTAATAACGAAAATAGATTGATTGCCGAAACGTCACGACTTTACAGTGCGCGATAGACAGTGATGTGTATTCTGTAATTTCTATTTTATTTTTTTTAAAGTGTGAGATTTTTGGTTAAGTAGAACTATGTTTATAATAATAACCCTTGACTTATCCTTTTGACGCCAGGGTCTATTTCACTAATTTTTAATTTTCTTCACGTGGAAAAATACCCAAATAAATAAAAAACTAAAACTATAGCGCAAATAAATAACTTCAGACAATAAGTGGCGCAAGATCATAAGACAGCCTAAAACAAATGTTTTATCGTACGAAATGTGGAATATGAGAAAAAATCTAAAATAAAAACCAACTTAAAGGAATAAAAATAAATTTGTAACATCCCTAATACTTGCGAATATCGGAAATACAAAAAATAAGCATACATTTAAAAATTACAAAAAGAAATCGCAGTTTCAAAATGAAAGGAAAGGATTTTCTATTGCAACTCTCTCATTAGAATGAACAGTATATTTAAAGGTACTATGTATAAAACTTATTAAACTAAAAAGTAAGGATTTATAAAAAATAATTATATTCCCTTCATGTATGTTATGAATTCTTAAAAACTATTTTTTTTTTTATAAAAAATAGACCACAACTTGGCAATGCACCTTTTAAAGTTGAAATAAATTTGGGGTTGTATACAGGTTGTCACAAATTAGCTTCTCACTACAGGGATCTCGGAAACGGTAAGAGGTACGAAGTAGCTTAAATGGGAGCAAAGTTGCGTAATCAGGAGACCAACATTATGCGTCTAAAAAATCAAGGCTAACATGATTAGTTTTCAAAACATTTGAAAAAAAAACGAAATTTTGGAAAACCGTTTATGTTTCATTTCAGCCTTGTTTGAGGTGATACTGAAAAAAGAAGAACACTTTCTCATGGCCACTTTTTGCCCTTTATCGAATGGCATAATCAATTTTTATATGTAACGTTTCGTCTCCCAAAGGCCATCATCAACTTCATTTTTTTAAATACGACCCTAGAAATTTAATTACATTTTTTGCAAGCCTTCATGATATCCACTGCTGTACTGCCTCAGCCCGAGCCAGATTCAGATGTTTTGTCTCGAAAAATTAATCTTCAGTGTATTCATTCATTCCAAATTGATCTAAATTTTTTATTTAGATTTCTTTGTTTATTGAATTATCATTATAAGTGTCGTTAGACCCTGTGAAATCCATCTAGTTATTTAAACTATTACCACCACGCCTTACAATAAAACATGTATTATTATTAACTATTATCATCACTTGGTCATACATAACTCAATAAGTTGTTGCGTCAAAATTAAAACATTATTACAATTTTAATTTTATTATGACAAATTAATTCTTAAAAATGCATATGAACAACCAAAACGCCAACTGAATTCCTTAAAAAATTTCAGTAAATGTTCAAAAACATTTTCGTTTTGGCAAAGGGTGAAAATGAAGATCAGCGTAATATTATCGGAATTTATTATATCTGTAACCGCAACTGTGAAAGAGCATGTCAGATGTATTTGTATGAATATCCTGAAAAAAAAATAGATCGGAATTTGTTTGAATTTTGAGAAGCCTAGAAATAACTATGGACATGGGAATACAACTCTAATAATGTTTTATTTTAATGCGTGGTGGTAATAGTTTAAAATTTTATATGGATTTGACAGGATCTAACGACACACAGCATACGATAATTCAATAAACAAAAAAATCCAAATAAAAAAAATTAGATAAATTTGGAACCAATACACTGAAGATGAATTTTTCGAGACAAAACGTTTGAATCTGGTTCGGGCTGAGGCAGTACAGTATGTGGGGTCATGAAGGTTTGCAAAAAATGTAATAAAATTTCTAGGGTTGTATTTAAAAAAATGAAGTTGATGATGGTCTTTGGGAGACGAAACGTTACATATAAAAATTGATTATGCCATTCGATAAAGGGCAAAAAGTGGCCATGAGAAAGTGTACTTCTTATTTCAATATCATCTCAAACAATGCTGAAATGAAACAAAAACGGATTTCCAAAATTTCGTTTTTTTTTTTCAAATATTTCGAAAACTAATCATTTTAGCCTTGATTTTGTAGAGGCATAATGTTGGTCCCCTGATTACGCAACTTTGCACCCATTTAAGCTACTTCGTACCTCTTACCGTTTCCGAGATCCCTGTAGTGAGAAGCTAATTTGTAACAGCCAGCCTATGTGTTCCATAAAAAAATACACTGACATGAGCTAAAACTTTTTCACTTCAAATTAACGATTTTCAAATTGAATGGTCTTTTCAATTTTATTCTGACATCAAGCGCTTATAAAAAAAAGTTTACTACATGGACACCCTGAACATTACGTAAAAGTTATTTTGACTAAATGATAATACGCATAAAATGTCAAAATTCATTTAAGTATATTATAAAATTTGCTCAAGAAACTTACCTGTTGATGTAGGTGATCTAATCCGCATACAACCTCCGCTGCGTAGAACCTAGCCCTCGCAATATCCAGTCCGGGCTCACCACCCATATTATAGATATGAAATTTTAAATCACCACCATTCATTATAGTAAGAACTAAGCACAGAGCGTCTTTTGTTTCATATGCATAAGCGAGATTCACTACAAACCGCGAGTTAATTTTCTGTAGGATTTGCTTTTCTATCAAGACCATAGCCTCTCCTTTTCGTTTCTTTATCCTCTTCTTTTCCAACTTCTTACAGGCATACATTTTGCCGGTGGCCCTAACCTGGAAAATGCAACGATCTTATTTAGCGATGTCATTTCCGGTTTTATATAGGGATTTCCGCATTTGGCGAAAGTTGGGTGAAGAGAAACAGGAAATTGGTTCTATAAAAATATATTATTTGAAAAATTTGAAACAAGTCGATTGAATAAAATTGTTTCATTCAATCAGCCCTATGCTGTAAAAACATTGAAATTAATATCAACCTTGAAGTGATTTCAATGAAAATTGATTTGTTCTTTAATTTTGGAGAAAATTGGTATGCACTAAGAACACTTGCTTACAATACGTTGACATTAAAATTGATTGAAATTTATTTCAAGTTTATTTGTCAAAGTCAACATATTTATTTTTATTGACTGCCCACCGTATAATTTTTATTAATAATGCCTGGAGCAACGAATTTATCTTGTGAAATGTTACGGAATCGGTAATATTTCAAATCGATATGCAGTACAAATTTTTAATGAAATGTATCCAAATGTAACTATAACTCGTAGAGCAGTTCGGAAGCTAATTATAATATTACTTTCTTGAATTTCTATTATTTTTTTTTTATAAGTATATGCTCGTACAACATTTTATATTGAATTTATGGAAACGATCCTATTGAATGATCGAATTTGGATGTTTAAAATTTCTGCTTCAGTTATTTTAACTCTTTATTAAATTCATTTTAAGCAAAAATATCAAGGCTATTGAATATTCCTCTTAAACATTGGTTTTCAAGGAGATTTATTATTTTTTATTTTAATCTTTGACGGAATATCTGCAAAAGTATCCACGTATTTAACTACAATTTTTGGATTAACAAACTAGTTTCTTTAAAGTTAAAGTATCAAGTATAATTTTTGAAAGCAGTGAAATTTGATATTTTTTTTCAAATGAACACGCAGTATATAAAAAAACACACTACAGAAATGAGACAACCCCCAAATCCAAAAGCCAAAGGCTTGTGAGGAAGGGGGCTACACTTGAAAAAACGCGGACAAACACCCATTATCCATCGACATTGCCAGTGCCGACACCGGGGATCGAACCCGGACCAGAGTAGGAAGCCTAGCCGAGAAATGATTGCCACCGCACTCTCGACCGACTGCGCTACCGTGGCGATAATAATATAATATCTATCAATACTTTATTTTACTATTATAGGTAGAATTAAATAATAGGTATATTACTTAATATACTATCTTATTCTACAGTTTAAAACACTAACAGAAAACTATAACTTTGTGTGCTTTTTCGAAAATGAAGCGGGTTAGCGAATTTTGACAGGGGTATTTCTTGCGAAGAACTAAAAAGTACAAAAGAAAATCGCACTAAGCTCGATATTCTAATATGAATAAGTTGTGAATTAAAATATTTCAAGTATGTGGCATAAAAAACACAAATTCGGTTGTTTAGGGCTTAACAAAACAAATGATGGCTAAATTTCAACGTGATACGATAATTATAAACAACAATTCTTTGATTGATCTTCTTACAGAGAGATATTATTTATTTGATTTATTATATTATATATCCATTTAAAATAACATTTTTATGTAATTTATTATTTCTTTGGCAGTGAGGAAAAAAAAACTCATTAAATACAATGTGAAAAGAATAATAGAAAAATCACTAAAGATCCCTTAATTGGAAAAGATTAAAAAAAATACCAATGACAAAATTTTAAATTTACGTTTAAATCTGTTAGAAACCTGGTGGGAATTTTTTTCTAAACAGCTACACATTTCTAAGGAATTTAGCAATATACAGGGTAAAATGTTATTCAGAGAATTCTAGAGCAGATTCTACATCCAAAAATACGAAAAAAATCCTATAAACGTAAGTCCGCAAATGCTTCGTTTTCGAAATATATAGGATATATTATTGCTATCGATATGTTATTGACAATGTTAATAAAGTGAGTATATTGTTAATACTTTCTTGTAAATTTGGACATTTATATTTTAATACATAAGAATCAAGATACAAGAGTTTGATACTAAATGTTTAACGTTTCTTTAAAAATTATTTGCATGATTTTTAAAAATCTTCAATAGCTCGAAAGCTACTCGCTAAATGACAAATGTGCAAGGAGGTCTTTTTGCTCTAAAATAAATGAGGTTCCTAAACATAATGTAAAAACCAGTAGAAAAACCAGAGGGGTGGATTTTCTGGTCATAAATCAATAGGTACTCCATCATATCTACGCCCCTGATGGATCTGAAAAGCAATCGATTACAACAAATTATAACCTACGTACCATAAATATACTGGCTCAAATTTAAACGATTTTCAATAAAAAGTTATCAAAAAAAAACATATTTTTTTATTTTATTTTGACAGCCTCTATTTCGAAAACGAAGCATTTGCGGACCTACGTTTATAGAATTTTTTTTCGAATTTTTTTACGTAGAATCTGCTCTAGAATTCTCTGAACAACATTTTGCAACACTCTGATGTATGTTTTTCATAATTGCAACATTTTTCATATTTGCAATTTGACCTGCCATATTACATTATGGTCGAATAAAATTGGATTAAATGCCATTGATTTGTAGTTGTAGAAGATAGCCCACTTATATTCTCGCCGTTTTATTGCAGCAATTCCAAAGTTTTAACGCGCATTTATCTGCGACACGAAAGGGACATAAATAAGAAAAACACTATATGTTTCCTTGGGGGGAACAAGAACATAATTCCTGGAAAAGTACACATAAAAAGTTTAGATCGTGACCCGAAGATAAGCCCGACATACTTTGATAAATACTGGGTATTTTAAGTTTTATAAGGCAATTCTTTACTATATCTAGGACTATTATTCAGGTTTGAGTTTGACTGGTAATTCGAAAAGAAAGACGTAAATTTCGAATATAGGGTGCACTAAAAATGCTTGGCCAAACTTTGTGTCACGAATTAATAAGAGATATAAGATGTAATAAAATATGTATGAAATAATATTTTGATTCATTCGTAGATAACATTACTACTTTTATTTTTCAAAAATGACTTGATGTTTTGACACATTTAACGGTAATTATTACCCAAATACGATCTGTTTTATCATTTACCTCAAAACCAGTTTGTGTCTTTAATCCTTTCGCACAATAGTGAGTTAAATTTAAAGTAGGTAGTTTGAAAGAGAAAAATGTTCTCGAAAAGGAAGTTTCGTTCATATTTAAAGAAACCATTTTTTTGTTAATTTAGACGTATACAGTATATGACATAGTTACGATTTGTATAATTTAATTTCATAACTTTTTGATTGTTTGTATATTATTTGGTTGGAAAAAAATTGAAAGAATCTGTGATATATAAATAAGAAAAATCGTAATTGCCAATTAGTTTTTTGTGAATATTATATAAAAAACGGTATGAATCGGGGTCGAAATCTGGTTTGGGTCATCAACTTAATTGATCAATTTAATTGATTAAAAGTTGATGGACAGAAACATAGGACGGAAAAGCCGAACCGTGCTAGAAACAAATGGATTTTGTTTTCTTCAATGTCCGGAAAGGTTTTCCAAAAAAACAAAAAATGATTCCGAAAATTTTTCGATTTTTTTTTTCATCAATTTAAACGTTATTTGCGGTAATACTGTAAAAAAACCTTAACAAAATTTTTTTTTCCATTTTAATTATGATTATGAAGTGTTTAAGCTCAAAAAACGTGACCCTTTAATTTTTATTAAAAGTTTGACTGTTTGAAACAAAGAAACGGTTCGCTAGATCCGAGGCTAGATCGAGATGAAACTTCACAAGGTTCTTCTGGGTATATCGAGCTGTAAAAGTCATGTTTACATTAGTCATTTCGTGAATATTTCTAATTTAGCCGTTAATTTTCTAAAAAACCATAAAAGACCCCTTTTCTCCTGTTTTTTAAAATTCGTGTAAAAGATGAAAAAAAAAAAGTTGCGGCAGCATGTTATAGGAAATTTATTTCAGTTTTCGAAACTGCGCTCCAATTCTCTGTACGACCATTTGCCGCCGAGACACCGATGGATGATTGAAGACAAAAGGATCCTTTTCCATTAAAAGTCCGATATTTCGATGAATGGTCGTATCGAAATTAAAAAAAAAAAGGGAATTGAAGCTGAATAAACAAGCTATATGGTCCAAGGAATGGCTTAGCTGAAAAAAAAATTCCAAGTCCGTGGAGCATGGAGAAAATAAAAATTTGCAAAATTTTTTTGTCGCGCTATTTATTCCAATTGCATGGTAACCGTAGCTCCTAAAACATTTCGACCGAAAGATCTAAAAACTAGAATCTTAGAGCTTCAAAATGCTTTTTTTTTAATTCGCGATACGACTATTTTTCACCTAAATACAGTCTGTCAAAAATCACGGAAAAATTTCGGAAATTCTTTTGACTCTTTAATTTTTTGCATTAGTGCATTATGTTCCTGGAATCCTGCATAAGTTTAACACATATGGACAACTTTTGCAGAAGTTACAGTAATTCTTAAAATTTCTTTGATATATTTCTTATATTTTTTTTTCGAAATTTGGAGCTTCAGTTTGAAGTTTCAACTCCGCCTTGGTACAACTTTGCATACCTATAGGTTAAGTTTCATTAAATTACAATATTTTGGGCACCCCCATGTTAGTTCCATTCTAACTTATTACTTTAATTTGTGGCTTATGGTCAAGCTTTATACGTTATGAACAGTAAATCGTACATTTCAGGTTTGTACTTTGTTTTCACATAACTTGGTGAAATATTGAGTTTTCCGAAAAGCGTAATTTTTAACAAAAAAAAGGACAGGTAGAGAAATCTTATTATTTATCCCTTCTCAGGTTATTTTCATAAATTCATTTTTGTCTAACAAAAAAACATAAATAAACAATTATCAATTACAAACATACGAGGTGTGACAATTAAGAAACGAGACTGATTTTATGCCGCGCTTGTGGTAAACCTGCGACCTTGAAACTCCCTTTCCCCTTCCCCGGCATCCTTCCCTTTCCCTTGATATTTTTACCATAGCTCTAGCTTGTTTAGTTCGCCTGCTGTG